CTGCATGACTGTAACTTTGTTGCATGTATCTTTACTACTTATACTGATATTGTTTCCTGATTGCTTATCTGTACCCTGACTATCTAAGTGCATGCAGTACCTTATGATTCTTGACTAATGTATCCTGTCTTTTTATCTACACTGAAAGCATATGCACCAAAGACAAATTCCTTGTGTGCCCAATCACACTTGCCCAATAAAGAATTGTATTCTATTCTATAGAACCAGTGAAGGTACTGGTTTGGACACATGCTTAACATTCATTCCCTTCCTACAGATCGATGGATCTGCTGCATTTACAACATGCCGGTCATTCTTCCTCTTTATACTCGGAAAGAAGCACAACCCTTATATCTCAATGGGAACTCGGGTCTCTACAGCCGCGTTCGGGGAGCTTTGCCCAAGTTTCCCGGATTGAGCAGGGAGAGGTGAGAAGGGAGCTCGGTTCTTGTGCAGGATAAGCCAACTCGAAACCGGGCTAAACTCGGAATCGAGACCCCTGATTCCCCCACGGCTAAAGGAGGGCAGCATTTCACTCTTATCGCCTTTTTGCAGTATTTAAACCAAATGTCTCCCTCACTCCCCGCGAGGGTCTGCCTCGAGCTGAATCCGTCCCGGAATGGGGCGTGCCTTTCCGGCACGAAAGCGGCTGATAGGTAGGCCCGTGTCTCTCTTCCCTTCCGGTATCAATACCAGCCCGATCCTTCGGGAGAGGCAGCGCTGCACCGGACAAGCAAGTCGAAGCTCGCCACCGCCGTTGCTGCAAATGTCAGGAGAAACACGTGGAGTTAAGAGCGGTTCTCCTAAGCGGGTTAAAGAGCGCTCTGGCATCCCAGACGCCGCCGCCGCGTTTAAGGGAACTGGCGACCGAGAAGCAGCTTTGGGCTCCGGCACCTTTTCTTTCTTTCGCCCGCCAAATACCCGCTGCCCTTTCAGAGCCCCCGCATCGACCCCGATCTCCCTTTCCGGCCACCCTTTTCTTTTTGCACGGCCACCCTGGAAGGCAGCCCGCTTTCCCCGCCCCTCCCCAACACGCCCCAACCGCCCTCTACCTTCTTCATGATGCCAGTCTTCCTCTTGCTGAAGGTGGTGTAGCGTCGCAGCTTGTTGTCGATAAATTCCATCTTGATCTTGACCCGGCCGCGGGTCTTCTTGCCGGGCTTGGCGCCGCTCACAGCCCCGCTCACCCCGCCGTAAGCCCCGGTCGCTGCCGCCGCGGCCGCCGCCTCCGTACCCCCCACCCCTAGTTCCATGTCCCCCAAAGTCCGCTTGATGCCGCGGCGCTCGCCCACCAACTCCTCATCTTCGGCCGAGTCCGAATCGCCTTCGCTGCCGCTGGCCGCCACCGCCGCGCTTACATCCCGGTCTCGGTCGAAGCGACCGCCGATCGTCCCCTGGCCGCTGGGAGGGCCCGTCCCGTTGCCGGGCCCGCGCACTCCTGCAGCAGCAGCGCCGCCGCCGTTCGCCCCGCGGGGAAGCCCGACACCTGGCCGCCCGGAGGAGGTTCGCGCCATGCCCATGACCGCGCTCCGGGCCAAGGCGGCAGCGCCGTTCCCGGCCTGGCTGGGTAACATAGTGCCGGTGCCGCCACCTCTTCCTTCCATGTGGGGCTAACGCGTCGGGTCAGACCGGCCCTGCCATGGGCCCGAGCGCCGGCTGCTCCGACCCGGCCCCCTCGCCTGTACCCGGCCTCCGCTCGCCCGCCTTCCTAGCCGCTGCCTCACACCGGAGTCAGGATCCGCGCCGGCCCGGGGCACCCCCTCCCCCCCCCGCTATCTTTCCCCCATATAAAGCGATACAATGTTGCCTTTTATGGCGAGGACGCTCCTTATATGGTGAGAGCCGGCGCTTTGCATCTATTGGCCGCCCCCTAGCAGCGCTTGGACGCCGTTGGCTGTCGGGGACCGGGCTCGAGTTCTCGTTGGTGGAAGGCACAAGGGCTCATTTGCATACATTCCAAAAGAGCTGCGTTCGTTGAGACGTCACCCCGAGGCGCAGCTCTTAAAGGGGAAGGAGGCTGCTGGTTTCAAAAGGAAGCCCGAGTCTCAAATGATCTCTACTGAACCGGGTGGAGGAATGCGGGGGAAAAGGGAAGAAGGAATTGAGATCCGATGAGCCGGTTGAGCAACAGAGGGACGGAAAAGACCCAACCTTCTCCCAACCTATCGCCTTTCGTTTTTCTCCAATGAGAACCGTCATTGGCCCGGCGTGGGGTTATAGGGATTGTGTAGTTCCATCTGGAGGGCTCCTTCCAGGTCCGGGAGGCTCGAAATGGGAGAGCTGACAGACGGTTCGGACCGATGCGCCCGCTCCCCCCCCTTCAAGTATGCGTCAAACTCGGTGAAGCCGGGACGGATTCTGGGACTTGCAAAGAGCAGGAATGTGGCGTTTCCCAGGGAATTCTGCGCTTCCAGCCGCCACCGATTGAACTAAGAAAAGGACGGGAGCGCCAAGCATCGGCGGCGCCCGCGGAAGTTAGCTACTGACGACCCTCCCCCGCCCCCCAACCGAGAGTGGGGAGGGGTGAGAACAAGGCGCTGAAACCCCAAACCTTTGACTGGCACGAAGGGGATCTTAGCCCAGGCGTGCCTCTCTCACCCCTCCCGCCTTGGGGCTGCCTCGCTTCTGGCTTTGGAGTCCCACGTGCTCCAGTTCTGGGGAGTGGGGAGCGTTCCATCACTGCTCGATTTAGGAGCTAAGTAGCAAGAGACCCATTCCTGGAGATCAGTGGTGTATTAACCATTAAGCCAAGTGTGTCCAAACTTGGGAACTTTAAAACTTGTGGACTTCAACTCCCAGAATTCCCCAGCCAACTTGGCTGGGGAATTCTGGGAGTTGAAGTCCACAAGTCTTAAAGTTCCCAAGTTTGGATACACCTGCATTAAGTAGACTAAGCAGGTACTTATGGCACCAGGCCAGTGGTGGGTTTCATATCCCGTTCCAACTGGTACAGTTGGAATGGGGCCGGCGGCATCCTCATGGATGGGCACAGTGCACGCATGCGTCTCAGTGCCTCCACAATGCTCTGCGATGCTCCAGCTATTCCGCGGAGCGTCGTGCAGGCGCTGTACGCACCATGCACATGCATGGCAGCACAGAAGCTTTAAAACACAGGTAAGGAGCTTAAACAGGTGAACCCTCTGGAGCACCATACCAGAATGGTATCCGGTGCTCTGGGCTGGCTCCGGCATGCCCATAACCCACCACTGCACCAGGCCCAAAGGGGGCACCACAAAGTTGAGAAAAAAAATGAAAAAAACCCAATGAAGATTTGTACACTATGTACAAAGGAAGGGGGGCACCAAGGTTTGTCAGTGCTTAGGGCACCAGTGAGCCTTAATCCGCCACTAGTGGAGATAAGTTTCAGGTCTGTTACGAGCTCAGCCCCTTCTCCCTTCCCCTCCTGAGTTGGTAGTAGAGGAAACGAAAGGCAACAATAGGCTGTCAAGAAGTTATCTTCATTGCAATATGTATTTCCCAGAAATTTGGCTCCGCTTGCACCAGTTTCCCAGCACACCGGCTCCTCCTAATGGAGGAGGAAACTACTAGCACTGGACATTTATTTATTTTATGTATTTATTTTATTTCATTTATTTTGTCAAGCATGAATTAGATAACATATATATATNTGTGTTTGTATCCCCTTTCCCCTTTTGAGTTGTTCGCTGCCCTGAGTCCCTCCCGGAGAAGGGTGGCATACAAATAAATTAAATCTTAATCTTAAATTCTCCAGCTGGACAGATACAGGGGATGTGGTCTCTTAAGTGTCTCACATGAATCCTGTCTGACAAACCATCTCCAAAGTTTCTTTTGGATCAGAACCCCCACTGGAGGCGGCGGCGAAGAAGAGCAGCATCTCATCAGACCCTGAGGAAAGCAACAGATCCCACACAGGTCAGAGATTTGCCTATGAATCAGAGTCAGGGCAGCAGCCTGCAACATGGCTGACAAGATGTTGGCTTTTTGTCAAAGCAAATGGAACAGGAGCTGAGTGGAAGAGATGATAGACCGGGTAAGAAAATTTATCTAACCCACAACTATAAATTAAACCTGGAAAAGGCAAAGAAATCTTGAGAACAAAAATAATATTGATGGTCAGATCGGGACTTTCTTTCTCCAAAAGAAAAGGAAGAAAGGAAGGTGGAGGGTTGTAACACCAGCCCCCACCCTCCAAGCTCTTTGTTTGAAATGCTTTCAGACAGAAAGCAGAGAAGTGACAAACCCACACAATTGTAAATTCTAAATTTGGTTTTGGATCTTAAATAGAAACCAATACCCCAAAGGGTTTACTTTTACTTTGTTTGAATTCCTTCCAGCTAATATCTTATTAATATCTTACTGATAATGGATAACTTAACCTTGACTATGCAGGAAGTTTTAATTAACCAACTGCCATAAATCAGAATTTGGAAAATCAGGAGGCAAAGAGAAACTTCTGACTGATTACAAGCTTGCTACAAGTGATTTATGTTGAGCAGTTATTAAAGGAAAGAATAAACATCATACTCAAGACCTGGGAAATACAAAGGGGGGGGGGTCTTCTCCTTTCTCTTCTTTTTCCCCCCTCTCTTCTGCAAAATATTAAGATGGCATCAGCTTCTCTTCCAGTTTCAATGTAGTTGGATTAACTAAATTTAAGGTGGACCAGAATTTTGNAACTAGAAGCTTTTTTTTTCCTTCTCGTCCCTGAATCATTCTCAGCTGTTCCATTTTCCCCGATGAAAACCCAACACCCAGAATTGCTATTTGCCTACATCAGGAAAGATTGTTTGGATTCAAAATGAGGATTTTCCTTTTTGAGGAGATGGGAGAGGAATGGCTTTAGTTAGGAAAAATAGGGGGAATAGAGGGAAGCAATGTCTACAGAAAATCCCAGTGGGGCTCAAATGACTTCTCCGGGTTAATGTCAAATGCCATGATAGCAATAGCACTTAGACTTATATACTGCTTCATGTGCTTTGCAGCCCATAAGCGGTTTTCAGAGTCAGCATATTGTCCCCAACAATCTGGATCCTCATTTTACCGTCCTAGGAAGAATGTTGTGGTCCGCCAGCGACCAGCAGAGCTGACAGCAGAATCGGTTAGTGAGGAGGTTGGGGAGGAACATGGGCCAGTCCTGGAGTGTGGGGAAGGCTCTGATGAGGACTCTGTGTCAGAGGCAAAGAGGGGCCGAGAGCCATATGCCAGTTATCAGCTACCTTCAGAGTCAGACAGCTGGAGCCTGTTCTCAGTGTGCACATGCACAGAGTTGCCGACGAAGGGAACAGCTAAAGAACAGGGGTCGACTTGGGAGTAAGGCCATAAGTGGATTATGAATGACCACTCCCAGAGGAAATAAAGGAGGAGCGAAAGGAGAATGGAGTTGCAGGAGATAATTAGTTAATTTAATTGGTTTGTGACTCCCCGAGACGCCTTGCCAAGTTTTGCACATATCGGCATAGCAGCTCTTGAAGCCAGATAAGTTCTGTGAGTGTAAATCCTCTCTTGAAAGACTTTGCTGGGTGTGAATGAGCATAATTCACAGTAGATTAATAAAAGGGTTTTGTCAGACAAGGAGTTTGCTTCATGCACTTAGGAAGCCTAGGTCAGAACAGGAAGACTGATGGAGTCAACAGGAAGTTGATCGGTCTCTGGATACGCTTCAAAGTGCTAGTCGTAACTTATAAAGCCCTTCATGGTATTGGACCTGGGTACTTGAGAGACCGCCTGCTGCCAATTACCTCCCAC